TATTTATTAGAAATATATTCACTAAACCAAAATTACAACAATCTCTAAAAAAGAACGGAAATACAAAATAACCTTTCTATATATTAAATACGACTCATAATCCTAACCAAACATCGCCAAAATTTCACTAATTTTTTAGAAAATTAAAATATCAACCATAATATTATATTTCTACCAATTCGCGAAAAAAATATCAAGCCTCACGCCAAACTCGAATCCTTATACAAAAAACATTAATATATACGGATTCAAGCCCTCCCCCCGGAATTAAAACCGAATTTCCCAAATCTATAATCTTTAAACATAATGCGATTATAAATACATATATCCTAGAAATTATACCAAAAAGATAATAAATCTATCGGAAACATATATAATATCCGGCCCTCGTAAACGATTATAAAATTCTTATTATAAATATGATATTTATAAATATGTATAATTGTAAAAATAAAATAAAAAACATAATCCATTATAATCCAATAATATTCAATATATATTAAATCTTTATCATTTCAAATATTTTAAATCAAGGAGCATTAGTTTCGCAAATCGCAAAGGCGATATAATACATTCATCAATCCGTCAATCCGTCGATTTCAAGATTATTCTGGTCCAAGTAGTATGAAAGGCAAATCAAGATCGGGAAGAAAACGATAAATATGAAAGAATGACCTGCAATATAAATCAAGATAATAACTCTAATGCACATTGATGCTTGAAGCCACCCCACCAAGGCCACGACATCCGGTGGTCGGCTCAGAGTTCGTTTTTGACGTACTTTTCAAGGGCAGACATGACGTCCAAACAGTCTGCAGCCGGCAAACCAGAAGAGAGAATATTTTTATACAGCATCATGCGATCATCCTTGTAGGGCTTTAGTTGCTGAAAGGTCATGCCCTCCAAGGCCAGCTTGGTCTGTGTTGCTGGAAGCTTTTTCAATGAGAAAATGAAGGGGCATTTCAAGTTGTCTTTCTTGCAACGGTCCTTCTCATACTCTTCTCCAATGTTGAACAACGCCTCATTGACCAGGCCCCAACTAGCAATCACTATGCACACTGCAATGCCATAGATGATACCTCCCGGGCCACCAAAAACATCCAAGTCTTCAGTGCCAATCAGGAGAAAGAGCATCAGTACCCCAAAGCGTACGCGCTTCCAGACCTGTTTCTACTAGGATTGGCAAGCACCACAATGAGCAACAGAAATACATTTAAACTGAAGGCATTGATGGCAATGAATCCTGCCGTAATCCCCAAGTAGTCTTCGGAATTCAGCAGAATCTGCCGGGGTGGCATCACTCAGATTTTCCTTCCAATGACCAATGATCCGATTCAAGGCCGAGGCGTTGACGATCATGGATGTTTGCAAAATCTTCTGGGTTCACATAAAACGGTACCAGGAGCAACTTGAGCACCGGAAGGTGCGCTAAGAAGCTCAAACATTTTCCAAATGGAGGAAGCCGCTCTGTTCTTTCCTTCTGGCTGAGATTGTGCAATCGAATATCCACCTGATTAGAGTTCTCCATGTTGTGGATCTGTGGCATCGCGGCAAGCATGAAGAGTTTTGGATCTAGACTGGAATCTAGACCTAATTCATGCCAAGCTTGCACTTGTTCAGGCTATTTTTCTGCCGGAGTCAATAAACATGCAGCAACACATCACTTTCAAACCACGTCTTGAATAGCTTGCATAGTCCATCACATGCCGAGCAAACTTGAGCAATGCCAGACCTGATTGGCAATCCCATGATTTTTTATGTGGCAACTGCTTTCCAAAGGGCAGCAAAAACATACTACTATGTTGAACCAGCTTGTACATTCGTCAAGGTGCGTCAAGGGCAACCGACATTCGACAATAAACAACTAGATAGCAACTACCAAAGCATTGCGACCCACTATCAGCAAGTCGGCGCCGTTAATCTTGCTGATGAACCGCCAGTAGCCACAGTTTACAGGTAGTTTTTGTCCTCGTTTCTTTGTCGCATATCATTTCCTTATGGAAATGATTACGTTACTAATGAGCAGCATTTCATCCTTGAGATTTCAAAGAAGATTCCAAAGAACAACATATCCATATGTTTCCACAGGTGTTCATCGGAAACAAATGGACACACGAATTGGGTGAGACTTCTGTCCTTTCAGTCCTTCGGCCCTACAAAGCACTGGGGGCGAAGCACGCCCGGCCTCTCAAATCACAAAGGCAATATGTTGCATCAGCCAATTCATCGGTCTCAAGCTTGTTTTGAACCAAGTAGTATGAGAGCCAAATCAAAATCGGGAAGAACATGAACATGCCCAAAGGGATGTGTGTCGCTGCCAGCACCCAGTCGACACATTTGAAGGATCGGCCCGGCACGGGCTTGGTCTCTTGGACCCACGCAGCGTTTTGTTCACCGGCAAAGGCCGCAAAAAGCATCTCGTCGACGGTCACCAAGAAGGTCAGAGCTAAGCTGTTCAAGATCAAATCAGAGATGTTCCGAACAGACAGCAAATATTGAATTCCAACAAAGAAAATCAGGCATTGCAAGATGCTGCGAGGCAAGAGGTTCAAGAGAATTGATAGTACTCTGAACTTCCGAGGTATGCCCATAATGTCCAAAGACATGACTTCATCGTCCTCCCATTTCTCATGGAGGCACTCTTCAACACTGCACGAAGGCTGTGCCAAAAGAACGTTCCACCAAACCAAAATGCTCCGAAACTCTGCTACGGATGCCAAACCCCAAAGGAAGACGATCAAAAATAGGAAGCCTTGGAAAATGGGCGATGTCAAGCCAAAGCTCTGATCCTCATACACTCGGCTGGCTTCGTAGGACACGATCACGGAGTCGTCTTGGATTTGGCGGGTCTTTTTCCCACAAACCTCAGTACGCTCCTCCAGGAAAAGTGATGTTTGGAGGGTCATCAACTCGGGGCAAAAAAGGCTCACAGCCTTGCGGCAAATATTTTCAGGCAGCAAATCTGTAGTTGTGGTGATGGAAGCCATTTTGAAGAAAAGAGGGACTGACGAGGATATGTTGATGTTGAATTCAGGCAACGCATTGTCTGCCTTCAGGTTGCTGCAGGTGTCTATGTCTGGCAAGTAACAGTACTTTGTGTACGGCTGAACTTGGGACACATAAATGTCCCGTGGTATGGCTGTGAAGTTGATGATGCATTGGTCTTGCTGCAGTGGAAGATTTGCCTTTTGCATGCAAAGCCGAAAGGCTTGTAGGTTGCTGACATCTTCCAAAGGCAAAGAAACAGGGAGGTGGCCAAAGCCTGTCAACTGTTGACTCCGAGAGCCGCCACCACACGTGCAGCACAATTCCGTCACGTTAAAATCCTCGTCATCCCAGCTACCCCCACAAGCATCATAACCATTGTATTCCGCGCAGGTGGCTTCCGTTCTATCAGTAGCACCGTTGTCCATGTCAACACACTTTGGAATGCTGCAGGCATAAATGATATCACCAAGTTTCTTTCTCGTGTACCGTTTGTGAATGTAAGCTTTCGATGCACTTGTTGGTGGATTGGAATAGGTCACCACAACATTCTCGCTACTTGTGACATTCCAGATCCAAGCCGTTTTCCAAAAGCCGAGGTTTTGGTCAAAGGCTTCAATTTCATCGAGAATGTCACACCCAACGACCCGAGGTCCAGCGTAAGACCTGATCTGATAAATCAAGTTCTTGTAGACCTGTGTCATATTCACTCTTCTGTTGTTGCTACGTGCATGGGCATTGTCCAGCACCAAAGCTTCCTCAAACGTCCATATGCCATCGCTTGTCAGGTCCAAGCGTGTGAAGTCTGCGGCAAAAAACACTTCATCAGGCGTACACATAATCACCTTTCTATTATGTTGCTCCGGATACCAACAAACTCCAGCCCGACCTGCCCCGGGTCCCGTAAGACCAAACAACTTCTCTGTGAGAAGCTGGTTTGTCAGAGTTGTCCTCCTGTAGAGCAAGAAGGCAATGCAATATTGCAGGATGAAGTTCACCACCAAAAGGAAAAAGGATCGTCCAAAGAAGCGTGATGATATGAGCGGCAGCAAATAAGCATTGTCATAGGCCGACTCCTGAAGTTTCAATTGACTATACCCCAAGACTTCACGTTTTGCGATCTTCGTGGTCAAGTGCTTCAGGACTCGATTCCCCTTTTCCACACTTGGACCTCAAGCGAACTCAGGAACCGAGCGGTTTACAGTCTTCCTCGCCACTTTCACTACTCACCATCTGCCTCTGCCTATCGGTCATGTAACATCATATAGTTACAATTCGTGACATATCCCAACAGCTAGTCACACCTGGTACCTCGTACCTATTTCATATTATTTCATATGCATGTCATTCCAAGGGACGTGGAAAAGTCGATGGAGTCAAAGGCGGCGATGGCCCACTAGTGTGAGAAGGAGCAGCACGCACACGAAGTCCTCAGAGATCTTCATCACCATCTCATCATGTTATCTTTCTTAGTTGAACAATTTTGCCTAGTAGTACCTTCTTGTTACTGATAGTACGGCCAGGAGCTACTAGTAGCGTCCTTGCTCCTAGTAGCGATGCCCTTTATTACTGCGAGTTCCCGGCACCGTGGTTGGTTGGTTGGTTGGTTGCATGACTGAGACTCGCACCGCTCTCATCAGCTACTGTGCCCTCAGTTGCTAGGTTGTCGACAGGCCCGACAACACTTTCTTCAGCATACACTTTGCCCGCCATGGCATGCGAAGGTCTGCGAGTCCTTTTCTACATAGATGGTTTTGCAAAACACTGAAGATGCGTCAATTTGGATTCAGATCTGTGTGAAAGCAACGCCACAAGCCTGCAGAATGTGTGAACCAAGCAATTGCATTGCACAAGTTATTGTACTTACACTTGCACCACAAGGGCACGATTCTGAATGTGCGGCAATCAGCACAGCAATATTCAAGCAATGCTGCAGCCTCTTGGATACAGGGAATTCGACCCATACAGCATACCCTGAAATCTCATTCTTGGATTGTTGCTGACAAGGTTTCCCCAAGAGGTTTTGCATATTTCCATGTGTATAATTATATGTATACATGCATGAAATATATATAGTGTCTTTTTTTTCCACAAGCCAAAATCAATCGGTTGCTAATCACACTGTTGCTTCCTATCAACTTTGTGATGGTAGCAAACTTTGCTTGAAGCAATTGATCTGCTCGTCTTTCAACTCGGCGATGATGCGTCTTGCCGAATCGGAAGCCTGCCGCTTGCACTTTGTTACTGCCGTGTTGCAACACAATTCTTGATATTGTGCTGCGAAAAAGTGTTCAGGCTTGGATCATACGGGATCTGGGTTGACACGTTTAAATCTGCCGCACAGCGCCTGTGGCAAAGGCTTCCCCACAGTATCCTCCACTTCACAGGCGACTGGGGTAGCATATCCCACACTGCAATTAATGTTGCACTTCCATGTGTTGCAGTGTTGTTCTCAGATTGCCCTGCCACGAAAGAATTTCCGAGAGGCCATTTGGTGCATGACAAATGACACAGGGTGACAAAGGAATTGGACAAATGAAGACTGATCTGCATTATATATTGGGATAGATTACATTGACATGCATTACCATCATTACCAAGCTCCTTGACAAAGAGGTGACTGAACTTATATACTTATAGAGGTCACTACCCATTGGTTGTATTCTCCAAGCATCCCCTGTGGACAACACTATTGGCTTTTGACTCTGGCTGGTGCACTCACAGTTTCGCAGGTTCTTTTGAGATCTTTGAGTGCGCTCAACATGCTCTCAAGTACCGGTAGGATAGCTAGTTCTTGGAGTCTATGATTGTTCTCAATCTTCACACGTGCGCAGGGAATATCGGCTCGTAGAGAATTCAATCGCAGCTCTCGATTTTAGTGTGTTCAAGAGTAGAGGTGAGATGAGGTGATGATTTGGCGACCTCGGAGTAAACAAAATTTGGTTACGCAAATCCATGCCCTGCAAATGGAGCAGGGTGTTGGATGTTGCAGCTGGATGATGCTGGAAGTTGAATGAACAACCTAGGATCACATTTTAATTGACTTCTGCTCATCCTGTCAGGATCAGGTAAACAAACATAGATATGTTTGTTATTGTTTGTTCATGCTCGATCATTTTCGTCTGGGGATTCATGGACATCTGATGCGTGTCTCCAAGTGTCTCTTGGTTGTCCTGCAATCGAGCTGTGTCGAGCTCCCCTGCAGCTTTGTTGCCACCAGCTGCTCCTGGCAATTGCTTGGTGAGGCAGTGTGAGATTGTCTAAATGTCAAACAGTCCACTCAAGCACGAACATTGCACAGCAGTCCGCGGATCTGTGGAGGAGTCCATTCTGCACATGGAGAGATCCTCTCGGAAAGAAGTGACACCTTGCATTTGAAACAACTCCACTTGGAAGGTCGTTTCAGCTTGTGGAAATCCGTCAACCACTGAAGGATGCATGACTGAAGGATGCAGGACTACACAGTTCGATCTGCTGAAGTGTAGTATGTCTGAGGCAGACTCTCTAGTACTTCCTGCCAGTTGCTGAGGCTGCAACAATCTCCGGATAGGACACGGTGCCAGGATTTACAAAGTTGAAAACTCCAGCAGCTCTCCGCTGTGCAAGGACTGGCAAAAGAGGCAGCAGGTCGTCCAACACAGTGACCGACGTCTCCACGCTGTCTACTTGCTGGAAGCGCGCCTTATCAACGTGTGACATAAGGACTTGATGTCGCCAAGGCATGCTTGTTGACACAAGGTCCCCGATGAAGGTGCTATATATGATATACATTTATATACAATGTTACAATGCTAGGTGTACTCTAACTCCTTTCAAGTTGCAAGCTTCCCAAGGAGCCCTCGAGCATCAAGATCCGAGCTCAATGGATAGAGCACTCTAACGACAAGTGTGTTGTCAAATAAAGCTGTCAACTCCTCCATCTTCTGCCGCAAAGCAGTATACACCCCTGGAGAGCCACCGTTTGGTGGATCGCTCTCGGAGAACTTCCGTTTGCGATCTGAGCTCACATAAAGAGCACCTGTTCCAAGCAGTATCACATGCAGTCCACGTTCATAACAAGCAGCAGCCACTGAGAGCTGTCCAGTGATATTGGCATCAACAGTTTCGACAGGATGAGAGTCACACCAAGTGATGTTGGGCCGTCCGCGCTCGCCAGCGGCACATATGACGCCAAGCTTTGGACGTATCTCGTCCAAAAGGGCCTCAAGACCAAGCCTGTCCTTGAGCCGTATTCTCGTTGCATGTACCGAAAACTCGGAGGATTCCAAATAACGAAGAATCGCAGAGCCAAGGAAGCCGCTTGGACCCAGGAGGACAAAATCAATCTCAGTCTTCATGGCGTCTTAAGGTGTCACCCCTGAAATCCCCTGAAACTTGGAATAACCTAATGCTCAAAGTGACAAACCAAAGTCTTTACGGATTCTTTGAGTTGATATTCCTCCTGATTTGCTGCAGCCAAAAGCAACATCAGTGAGTGAACCGGCGACTAGAAGCACTGGCTTTCATTTCGCTAAAACTATTTCAAACTCCAAAAGCTCGTTTTTCAATTTTGGGCAAAGGTCAGAAGCTCGGGCTCCGATTGCGTCCTCCTTTCACTGAAGCTCACTGTCACAGGCTCTATATCTAGCACATATATTTATATTTAACATTTTGTAACTGTTTCTATCCAGTTTCTTGTGCTTTTAGTGGCGAAACCGTTCCCATTCACCACGGCGCTCCTCCTTTGCCTCGGTGTCTCAGTTGCCTGCCTTGAGAATTTTAGGATATAGGAAGGAAGGATCAGGCAACATTTGCAGGCAAAGTGTACGAAAGTGCCAGGTTAAGTGCCACATCCTAGCAAGCTCAACTATGTTTTGTGAAGCTTTGCCTCCAGCTGGTGCTGCACCTAGCGAGACATACATACTGTTGATTTGTCCCGGAAGCAAGAAAAGTCGAAATAACGCAAAAGCCAAAGGGCAGCTGTTCATGAGGCAAACATGCTTGAACAATCTGCCAATTTTGGGATTCCTTCCATTCTGTTCCGGCCTGCCAGTCGCATCAGTTCTGGACTGATCTCCTTGAAATCATGAAGCACTTTGAACATTGCATGTCAGCCTCCAAGAACCAACGATGAACATGACAAGAATTCTGACTCCTGTTTGGTGCGCTCCATCACCTCAATAATCCCTTTTGCTTTGGCTGCATCCTGACCTATCGGGCGTGGGTTCCTTGCTGAGCTCAGAAAGCGTTGTGACCCTGCCTGTCATGAAGGTGATAGCATAGCCCTTCCTTAGAGAGACTTGCAAGAAGGCACCTGAACATGAGACATTCGTTCGACATGGGTCATTTATCGAATCACAAGCTTGAGCTCAGTGCGCTCCAGCCCGGCCAGTGCGACCGATGCGGTGGACGTAGTCCTCACAGGGAGTCCGCTTTGCATTGCAGATTCACATCACTTCAATACCTAACCAAATCGCACAGCCCACAAGCCGCCTCTGTATTATTGGCGGGATCAAAGTTGATGACCAAGCCCTAACTGCATGCTGCATCAAGCGACGTAGGAAGTCACATTTGCAATGGCTGCTACTCAAGGACTTCATTAATGCACAATTACAATGAGCTCAAAACAACACCCTTGATGTCTAATCCGCGAGCAGCAACATCTGTGGCAATGAGAACCTGCACAACAAAACATGTGTCACAAGGAAGATATATAGAACCTGTTTTCAACCCACTGCAGTACATGCATTTCCGCTCTATGCACATTCTAATGCAGGTGAATCTTCACTGCCTTGTACCTCCCACTTTTAAGCCCATTGAGGGCTTCTTCGCGTTGCCGCTGGTCCTGGTGTTTGGATTTCGTTGGCGCCTTGGCAAGTTCAGCTGTTCCGCTGCAAGTACTTGAACGCTGGATTTGCAAGTGGTGATATTGTGTACTGTTTTCATATATAGGTCATTTGTGGATTATCTCGCTTTGTCTATCGCCTTGTGTGAATCTTCGAGAGAAGCAACAAGTGCTCGAAGCTAAACAGCGCCCTCTTTTGGGAAACATATCAGATTGCCCGAATGGTGGGATGTACAAACGAAACAATATCAAACAATGATCAACAAACAAAACATGGGCAGCTTTGCAAACAAGGCCTGGCCAGCTAGACTTGAGGCCAAGGGGGGGGCGAAAGCTAGCGCTCCAGAATGGGAAAGTGGAGGGCAGCGAGGTAGGAAAAAA